GCTCGCGCGGCTGCATTCTGGACAAGCTGAAGTCTCCGAATGCTCTTCAAGGGCTGCCCCATGTAGAGCACATTGCAATAGCCTATACTGAAGTTGTAAATCAGTATGTTTAAATTGGATTTCACTATGGTCTTTTGTTCATAAATAAGTTGATGTTATATAACTACAATAGCACCAAAATAAAATTATAATGCAGAGTAATCTTTTGAAATAATACTGTTATTATATTGTAATAACTGTCAGTTCTTATATTGTTTTAAATTCTCTGTTAAGTCTTTCTTTCTTTGCTGCAAGGGAGAAGTAACAATATTTATATGTGAGAGGTGTTTGTTTTTGTGTTCAGCTCAAATATAAAGAACATTACCAGAACCAGAAAGGCCATTATGAAGGAGTTGGCATGGACCGGCGCACACTGCATGCCATGAAGGTTGGAAATTTGGCAAGCAATGTAAGTTGTTTAAATCACATTGTCTTTAATTATTTTCTATATATCATTTCAAAATGATATCTAGCCTTTGCTTCCTAAGAGGAAGGAGAGCCACACTTTTAATTATCTCTTAAGAGCTGCAGGAACAGCTTTATATATTTCTGTACTGTTCAAAGAACATAAAAATTATTTTTGCATAAGGATATATCATGTCAGTAAACATGTACTTTGGATCACTAAGGAAAAAATAGGGTTTTTTCATGTATGTGACAGGTGGTTCAATTCCTCTTAGAATGTATTTTGTTAATTGACATGTTATGAGTCTTGGGACTAGGCATTAAAATAATTGAATTATTTTTTAAGGAAGGGCATTCTCTTTATTTCCCATCCTTATGAAAGTTTAGTTCATAAACTCCAGTTCATAAATTCCTGTTTCTGCCATCTGTTATTTTGATTTGGCTGTATTTAATCCAATATTTATAGTATTGAGTGAGATGCCATTTCTTACTTACATCCCTTGAAGCATTTTATTTACAAAGACACTACAGACAGACATGGAAGGGAATGCTGCCATAGCTCCATGACACATATGGAAGAGAATGCTGCCATAGCTCATAGGGCATAGATGCCCAAACCGAAGAAGATTCAGCATTTAAACTCTTCAAATAATTTCATTATCTTTGACATGGATGATCCAGATCTTGCTTTGTCCATTAAGTTTAAGTTTCCTTTTTTCCTTGTCTTATAACTATTTAAAAATGGATAGTTTTAAAAAGGTGATTGCTTTTGTGCTCCTTGTGTTCCAGATAGCCTATAAATCTGACTATGCGCATGATGAATCTAACTACAATTACCCAGTGATGCTGACTCCCTCTTATCAGACAACAAGGAAACTGGATCCTCTGAAAGATGTAAATAGCTTTCTCAGTTGTCTTCTTATTTTGCATGAGTTGCCATCTCCTGTAGGGAGAAGTATGTTTTGTGGCCTTTGTAAAACAGTTGTTTAATTGCAGTGACAGACATAGCCAATAATAACTGAAACCCTAGAAGAGCAAGTTGTTTTCTAGCTGATAGGCTAGGCCAGGAGTGTCAAACTCACGTCATCATGGCGGCATCACATAACCTATCGGAACTTTTCTCCCCTTTGCTAAACAGGTGTGGGCATGGCCAGCATGTGATGCATCCATCCCAAGGGCTGGGAGTTTGACAGCCTTTGGCTAGCCCCATGAACTATCAAGGAACTGAGAATAAGAGATACAATCCACAGTATTTAGTCCTATTCTCGTGGCTTGCAAACAAATGTCATTACTATAATTATGTAGCAAAGGGAACTCTATCATATGACAATTGTACTGGCTTTGTACCAATATAAGAGATACTAATTTAATACCAATATAAGAGGTACTTTATTTTTTATATCTTGATTTGTTGGTTTTGTTGCACTTTATGTGGATACCCTTAAAAATAGTTCAAAATCCAACAGCTTGGATGTTATGTGACATATTGTACCCAAATCATAAGATGGTGCACGGAAATCTATGCTCTGCTTTCCAGTTACCTGGCAAGATAAGTTAGGAAATTGTTAATCTTTAACAAGATTACTTAGGAACTGATCAACTGGGACTCTTTTTTCTCCACACATTAGGATTATGACTAGTCAATGAAAATGTACATGAAAAGTCTTTCTAAAGATGATCCTGCTATCAGGAACCTGCTTATTTGGCATACAGAAAAGGGTCTTTTGCCTTGCCACTAATTTTTTTTCATCCTTCAGGAAAGCAATGAAGTCATATCTCTTAACAGGCTTTTATTACTAATTGTTCTGTCCCAAGCCTCTACAATATATACGGACGCAGACTTGGGTGTCTGCGGGGTAGGTCCAGTAACTGACGCCCCTCGTCTCTTCTTGGAGCAAAAGGCTGCCATTGCCCAGGTTCCCCACAATAAAAACACAACCCTCCTGAGCACTGTCTGTTTTTCTCTGTTATAAACAAGCGGGGTTTGGCTGCACCTAATTCCATGGGCTCCCCCTTGGAGTTGGAGTCTCACGCATGGCCAGAACCAACCTGTTCTCCTGGGATGTGCGGCGACTTCCCTGTGTCTGCAACCGAGCATCAATCCAGAGACACAGATGGACCAGTGTGTTGAGTTCAGTGACCTATCCACACGCACCAGCTCATCTTGCAATTCTTCTGACAACCCATCCTGAAATGTGTCCAAGAGGGCTGCCTCATTCCAAGCCGAATCCTGGCTAAGTAGCCTAAACTCACTGATGTATTCTTGCAAGGAATGCCGGCCCTGCTTCAGAGTCTTCAAATGTTGGGTAGCCTTCTCCATCTTAATGGGGTCCTTATACATTAATCTGAGGTGGTCACAGAACCCCTTGAAGTCATCCAGAAAAGGGCTAGCCCGGACAAGCAGTGGGGTAGCCCAATGAGCTGCGGAGCCGGAGAGAAGGCTAATTATAAACCCACTTTATCTTGGTCAGTGGGGAAATCCTCTGCTCTCAAGCTGATAAACAGTTGGCATTGTCCCCAAAAAGCCAGAAACATGGCTTGGTTGCCATTGAATTTATCAGACACTGCAACTGGGCATTTTCTCTGAGGTGGTGGTGGAGCAGTGTGAACTTGGAGCTGAGCCACTGGGCAGCCAGCCCAGCTACCTGTTGTGTGAGCTGCGTGTTTTCTGCACAAAGCTGATCCATTTTAAATTATATTTAAATCTGTTTTAGAAGGCAGGAAACAAACTGGTCTGTCCCAAGCCTCTACAATATATATGTATGCAGACTTCGCTGTCTGCCACAACTAAGGAGGGAGATAAGCAACCCCTTGGCTGAGAGCCCAGAAAGCTATCTCTTTGAAACAAAGCTTACACTTATGAAATTCTCTCAATCTTTCTCTATGGCTGGATCAGTAAATTGTTGTTTCCTGCAAAATTCCCCTTCCATACCCCACCTATAAGCTCTCCGGGAGGAGCCAATCAGTAGCCACCTGTTCCTATTTCCTTCTGTCACCCTTTTTCCAAAGCTGCTCCCTCCTCCTTGCAGCCCTATCCATACGTACATCAGGGACGGCCTCCTTCTGTTCTTCCTCACTGCTCCTCACTCAGACGCCACCTGGTGGCCAACAGGCCTCTCTAGTCCCTGCTCTGACTCCGAACACTCCCCCAGAGACTTCCTCAACCTCCAGGGCAGTCCCATAGTGTTTGTCGCTGTCAGATTCCACCAACAGCTCAGTCGGCCTCTGTTGGGCCACATCACTAATTGATATTTTTATTACCTTTAATGAACTCTTAAATTTTTTTTTTTGCTTTATGCATTTCATTTACTTATTGCTATCCACCAAGGTGCTCAAATTTGGTAGAAAGGTAGAGTGTAAGTCAAAGTAGTTCTATTCTGTATATATTCTTCTATGTTGAAACTCAGGGAAGAATATCAGTTATTCTTGTTTTTAAGCATAATGGTCATAAACAGAAATTAACAAAATCTAATCTAATCTCCTTCCTGGCTAGTAGATTCAGAACTTTGTAGTTTCTAAAAGTTTGCTAAATGTTGCCTGGAATCTTGGGATTACATTTTGGAGAAGGAACTGGAAATTTTCTCCTGATTTCTTGCATACTGCTATAGTTTTCTGAACTGTAGGAAACCTAGAACTGCTTTCTACACACACAAATATGACTTATGCAAACATATCAGGTAAATAGCTTAGCTAGCTCAATTAAGTATATCAGTATATAGCCTACATTTATTGTCAGCTATTTTGGATTCATCCTGATTCAAAGATTTCACATTAGCTGTCTAAATACTGTATTGTTCAATTGCAAATGTATGTTTGGAATTTTGGGATTTTGTTGCTTGCTAGCTAAAATGGAAGAAAATGGTATACAATAATAGTAAATAGAATAGTAAATAGAGTACTAAAATAATAATTCCCTATTATGTTTCTAGCAGAAGAAAAAGATAGCGATTCGATGTCTTATTTTTGTAAAAGTACTTCCAGACAATATAGGAAGTTGTGTTCCACTGAAGAAGCTGTCTTCTATTATATCTGATCATTGACCTATCTAATTGAGTTTGTGTAGACCTCTGAAACTTTGGAGAGTTATATGAGATTTTCATTTTCAATAACTATAGACTGGCTTTCTGATTTTGGGCCTCTAAATATTTGGATTGTGATTTGTATTACCCTGGCCATATGAAATCATGGTTATCAGGAATATGGAAACTGCACTTTGAAATCATTTGAAGAACCAGTTTGGGGAAATGTATTTTTGTATTTTTGTATTGGTTTTGGCAGTCCAGTATTTTCATATCTTCTTCAGCTCTACCTAGAATGCCAAAAGTTGAGAGTCAAACTTGTTCCTAGGTTCTAATACTTTTAAATTTCAAATAATGGCTCTTATTCTTTAAAAATCAAAAGAAATAAAAAGGAAGAATCTGGCTATACCTAAAATCACAGTAAAGATTCAAACATCCTTAATATGAAAAGTGTTGATTTTAATACTCAGTTTGTTAACTTGCTTTTCTGCCACACCTGTTTGAACTGGATTACTCATACACAGATGATAAGAAGGTATTATCTGCATCATTTGCTTCAGGAAAGCTGTAAAAACCTGGCTGTTTTGGCAGGCCTGGGGCTGTTGACCTCACTGTTGAGGTTCAGCCCTGATTAGAATGAATGTATGTGGTGCTGCGATTTAAACCGTTAAACCGGTTTTTTTCTCTTTGTTGTAAGCCGCCTTTTGGGATTGGGCAGCATATAAATTTTATAAATTAAATTAAATTAAATTACATGTTTTATCAAGCTGTAGAATAGAGTTGCCTAAGTAATCAAACAACAGTCAGTAGAATGAATTAGTCCAAGAAAGACAGATTCCCTCTATACATCTAAGCAGTGTAAATATGAATTTTAGAGGTACAGCCTTATATTCAGGGTTGAAATGAGATCTGTTGAAACTCTATAAAACCAAATTTCATACTTTCAAATATTATTGAGCTGCCATATATCTTTTCCCCTCATAGCACTGACTCCTATTACAGGCACAAGCGGAAGGCTGCCCTTTTCATCAAGTTATTCTGTTGACTTCCAACACTTAGAGCCATATTCTTATTTCCCCCCACCCCCATAAATATATCTGAAATTCACTGGATTTATAGTTGATCTGATGAAGCAAGAATGGTTTATCAAATTAAAAATAATGCACTGTATGCAGATTACCTATATCATGTTAAGAGTTTTAAATGTTTTAAATGAACTATTTTTAAATGCTATACAATTTTCAGTTTATTAAAGAAGTATTAATCAATTGGAGTTGATAATGATTAAGATATGATAAAAATATTAATTGTACCCTGCACTGTGATCTGAAGGTTTTTGGATGAGATCAACATTTGCAATTTTGAAAGTTTGCATAACCTGAATGTTTTAATTTTAGGTAAACTACAGGCAAAATATAGACAAATTGAAATATAGCTCTGTTACGTGCACACCTCAGATCCTTCAAGCAAAAATCAATGCCCAGCAACTTAGTGATGTAAGTTCTATTATGATTGTCAAATAATTATCCCAAAACACAGCAACTTTGCACAAGCAAACCGATATTTATTCCTGGAAAGGAATAATACAAAATTTATCAAGGGCAACACAATAGATGGGCGCTTTTGATAGATGGATGCTTTTGCCAGCCCCCTTTGGCCATTGAATGGCTTTTTATCTTGTTTCTAACAAGAATAAGAAGGATTAGCAGATTAGCTCCTTCTGGACCATTGTGTGAGTTGGGCTAAAAAAGACAATAGCAGCGGATACAACGAGGAAGAACAGTATACAGAAGACAACTAGTCCCTCAGAATATAGGGCTCAAAGTATATTTTGATTTGATGAGGTGAAACACGTCTCTGTGGTTTGTTCAACACACATAATCAAAATAAACCCAGGATGCTATAATAAAGGAGCCCAGGTGGCATGGTGATTAGAATATAGTATTGCAGGCTAACTCTGGTCAAACCAGGAGTTGATCCTGACCGGCTCAAGGTTGATTCAGCCTTCCATCCTTCTGAGATCAGTAAAATGAGGACCCAGATTGTTGGGGACAATATGCTGTCATTTTTAAGCTACTTAGAGAGTGATGTAAAGTGCTATGGAATGGTATATACTGGTAAGTCTAAGTGCTATTGCTATATCATAACTGAAAAACCATAGACTGTGCAGTGACACAAATACTTCAGAGAAACATGCAATAGTTAGATGTTAATTAATCATGTCTACCAGATATTTATTTTTGTAATTATCTTTTGTTCGTAAAGGATTCAGTTTTTATACATTACACAATTTTTGATGGGATTAGAATATTAAAGTTGAGATGTTATTTTATATGAGATGATATCTGTAACATATCTGTACAAATAGAAACTAAACTTGAATGTCTTCATACTGAGTAATTAAGTGCTTTCATGAAGCAAAACAGGCTAGACTGAAATAATTATTCACTCCCTTCTGGAGATTTTTCTAGGATGATAAAAATGGAAGGGAATCATATCTTAACTGTCACAGGAATTAGTACAGATAGAAGATGACCATTTTAGTTATGATCTCAATGATTAATTTATGTAAAATATAATGTGTTAATAAAAGTGGAACAACTTAAAAATGGCAGAATTTCAATGAAAATTAAATGAATATTTACTAACAAAATTTCCCAATATTATACAATATAGTTTTTAATCATTCAGACTTTCTTTTCAAGACATGTGAGAATATATTCTTTCAGAATACCTTCTATTTATTCTTTTATTATTAATATGCTAAGAAAACACTAGCCATTGTCATTTATATTTTATTTTTCAATAATGTTACTATATTATATGGTAACATGAAGATTTGACACCCTTTTTTGAGACCTAGCATAGCTTCACAGTAGCATTATGATCTTGATTAATTACAAATCTTTAAAAACATGTCTTTAACTTTTGCCAGCTGAATTATCGAGCCAACTATCAGAAAAACAAATCAAATTATACTTTACCTCAAGATGTACCAGAGCTAATGAAGGCAAAAGCCAATGCAGAATTATACAGTGAGGTAAGACTTTTCCTTATTCCAGTATAGATATTGGTTTACGGGAATGCAAAACAGAACTTAAAACATTCAGCAGCTTTCCTACAATCTGCTGCATGAAAGAGAGAAAAGGAAAGGCATTAGAGAAAGAGAAAAGGGGTTTGTTTTTAGCTTTAAACTATTTTGCTTCAGCCAATCAGCCATGGCATGGAGCCTTGAAGATATTCAAGATTGCCCACACCTGCAATAGTCATTTATCTATAGAGTCTGCCAATTGACCCCTGTAAGAATTGCTTCTGAGTAAGCACAGGGACAGATTAGTTTAGATAATAAAGTACTAAAGATTGAGCATTTATTAGCAGGAAGCTGGGAAGCAAAGTTCTGTTTTGTGCTGGTGGTGGAAGGAAGAAACAATGTTAAGATTATCTGCAAGAAATATTGGCGGGGTTTAACACGTGAGAGAAAGGGTGATTAAGTTTCTCCCACTCCATTCAACAATCCAGCTAACAACTGCTGGCTAGGAGATTCAGGAAGGAAAAATCCTCATGGTTTCTCACTCTTAGCTACCATGATCATGATTAGTGGGAGAAAGAAAAACGGAATTGTCTTTGTCATGGTTCCATGAATTGTAAGGAAGAGAGGAGGATTGTGAATTTAGTCCTCAACCTAAAATATGAAATAATTTTCCTTTCAGACACCCTTCTTGCCCTTGGGTTTCACTTACTTAAATGAACCCTGTCTGAATTGAGCATTTCTGAGAAGAACCAAGCTCATCTGCTTCCAAGTGATTCTGAATAATACACAGATATGGATGTAAATATAGCCTGAAATAGGGTTTATATGCTGCTGTGCATACAAGCAGTCATCCACTTAAGAACAAAATGGGCATCAGAATTTCAGTTGCTAAGCAATGCAGTTGTTAAGTGAGCTATCATACGATGGGACTTGATTTTATAATCATTTTAAAGTACTTGTTAAGGAAAGAACTTTGGTCATTAAGTGAATCTGGTTTCCCCAATTGATTTTGCTTGTTGGAAGCTAGTTGAAAATGTTGCAAATTATGATCACATGATGGCAAGATGCCACAACCGTTGCAAGTATGAGCCAGTTGCAAGCACCAAAATTGTGATTTCATGACTGCAGAGGTGGTGTAATGGTTGTAATTTTGAGGATGGGGAGGCCATTGTTAACTATCATTTTACAAATGGTCATAAGTCAACTGCCACCTGGTTTGCTATGTTTTTATATGCACGGCTTATTTTTATTAATATACAATATGCAACTATATTTTCTTCCTAGGTTAAATACAAAGAAGACTGGCAGAAAAGCAGGGGCCGCAACTTTGAAATGAAGTTAGATTCCAAGTCTTTTCTTGCGGCCAAAGCTTCAGGAGATCTTGCCAGTGAAGTAGGTTCTATATATTTTTGAAGGATTTAGTCATAGTAAAAATCAGCATACTTTATATAAATGAAAACAAGTTGTTTTATAAATTCAGGGATATGATTTATTTCTGAAAATAATATACCATAAACTACGATAGAATAATCTTTGCATTCTAGACACTTTCTGAATGAAACTTTGAAATTAATTTTCAGAGCTTGAAATTAAACATGCATGCAGAAAAATATAGACAAAATCTTAATGGACCAAAACTAATTTTTAATTCATTTCAAAGTATTTCAGGCAACATTTAATTAGTTACTTAGATTTAGTTTTAAAAAAGGCTGTATTTAACTATCAATATTCTCAGCCCCTTTTACCCCCAGGTATATATTTTGGTTTTTTTAACTGTTGTTATAAAATTGTTGCCTTGATATGTACCACCAGTTAGAAAGTACCTTAGAAAGAAAAATGTAAACTTCTGAGTTAAAAACCAGAAGAGATTTTTAAAAAATAGTTGCCTATCCTCTTTTCAGGTAAGGATTCAGGTAAGTAAAGAGCTCATTGTGTTTTTAAGGAAAAAATTCACAGTATTAGATAATTATGTATATTATTCAGGCTTTGAAATGCTATGAAGTTCATATTCTATAATTATTACTTATTTTCTCTATAAAGATTAAATACAAAGAAGAGTATGAGAAAATGAAAGGAAAAGCTTTGTCAACAAAAGATTCAAGACTTCTGCACTCTATGCAAGTAGCCAGAATAAATAGTGAGGTACGGTAAATATCCTTTCATATCCACTTTTATTTTTTCTTTAGGAATTACAGAACCCACTGGTTACAGTAAAAAAATATTACTATTTCTTCTTATTAGACTTCTTTATTAAGCAAGACAATAGTGGTTAGGGTTAAAAGCTTAAACCCTGTAGAGATTGGAGACCAAATAGTAATAATGATTAAAATCATGTTTATTACATTAGGAATCAGGCTCACATAATTTATTTCCTATTCCCTTGTAATTTCCTTTCACTGACTAGCAGTACATCTGTTCAATCATTAGATATGTCAATCATGTTTAACTCTAAGCAGGGTTGGCAAAATGGATAATTCAAACTCTTCATGATTATTATAAATGCAGATGTGCAATATTTGTGGTTTGGGAAGATCTCCTTATATTATAACTGATAATATAACTTATTGCCAGAATTTCAGATTTTAGTTCAAAGAAACTTGCATTGAAACTTTGGTTCTAAATAAGTTATTAAGGCTATTTTTTTGTATAATATGCATTGAAATCATTGAATTTATGTCAATCTAAATCTGCATGAGATTGTATGTTTGTTTGGGTGAAATATGGCAGAACACTTTCAGATATTCTTCTTCTTCAGGTACTGATTCTTTGGTCTTTGCTTGACCCCTAGAAGAAATGGGATCATAGCACAGCCCCAACAAAAGATATGGGATGCTTGTGGTATTTTGAGCCACATTTGATATGCAGGTTAAAGTTCTTGCAAATGAAAACCAACATTTGCCTAATTTCTGCAGCCAAAGAATAAAGCATGAATTATTCCAAATGCAGTAACCAGCATAATGATTTGAAAACAATTCAGTTGTGTTGGTAAAAATTTTACATTTTACTATTTTACTAAATTTTACTACATTTCTGTTCCAACTTTCTTTGATAACATTGTGAAATGTAAAGAAAATTTCACAATGCTAGCAAAGAAAGCTGAAACAGAAATGTAGACTTTCAACTCTTAGTCAGATAAGCAGATAAGTCTAACTGCTATAAAGATAAGCAGGATTGTGCAGAGATTTGAAGGAACTGAAAGTTCTTTTTAAAATCTAGTTATTGTTTGTTATGTGATAAAGGTAACTGCTAATTCAAGATTGGTGTTTCATCAATCTGTTTTAATTTTTGGTAATGCAATATGTTGATATTACTGCAGATTGCTTATAAAAAAGATTTTGAGAAGAATAAAGCACATTTCCATTTACCATTGGATATGATAAATCTGAAACATGCAAAGAAAGCCCAAGCTCTGGCTAGTGATGTTGACTATAGGAAGAAAATACATGAATATACAGCAGTTCCAGAAGATCTAAAGACACAGTGGGCCAAAAAGGCCTCTGGGCTACAAAGTGAGGTAGGATAAAAGGCATTTCATTATTTTTTAAAAAGAAAATGCTTATAAGAATAATAATGTTATTAGTATCTATTGGTTGTTGTTTGGTCTATTAAATCTGGGCTAAAAAAATCCAGATTATCAGTAGATGGAAACATCTATTTTTTTGTCTGCCATTTGTTGGTCATTCAGAGTTTTATAGTTCAGATGGTACAGCTTGGCTCTTGTCATTTACAGACTACACCTTAAGACTGCAGACTAATCCACATGGAATTACATATGCACTGTAAACACAAACATGTATTTAATTTGACTTAAACTGTATTAAATTAGTTTATTCTCATAGAAGGATATTTTGTAGAGCTGAACTGTAGTAGTACCAACAGTAGTATCAAGAGTTTTATACAATTTTATACATTTATAAAGCTGTATATAAAACTTTATAAATTTATATTGTTGTTATAACATACATCTTTATTTGCATTTATTATTAGATTTATATCCTGCTTTTATTTTGTACATCCCAGGAGGGTATACATAATGGTCTTGTCTTCTAATTTGCCTATGACAGCTACCTTGTCTGAGCTGAGAAAGTGACTAAGGGGGGACTAGAAGTCTCCTAATTACTCTTGTTACACATAGCTGGGCAATTTAATATAGTTTAGTAATACCAGTCTACTTAAAACTTGTGAATTTTCTTTTCCTTTAGCTTCAATACAAAACCGACCTTCAGTGGATGAAAGGAGTTGGCTGGATAGCAGACCAAAGTATCAATATTGAACAAGCAAAAAAAGCAGGAGAACTCATCAGTGAGGTCAGTTTACTGATTTTACTCAAATGTTATACTGTTGAAGCTTTATAGAAAGTAAAAGCACTCATAAGTATGCTGATGGCAAGACTCACCGTGTTATGGCTTTTTGAACATGTAATTGACTGACTGTCAAACCATCAGCTGAGCTATATTAAATTAATAGCAACAATTTTTCTGCAAATGGAGAGGTTTGCAGAATTTAGCATTTGGTTAAAATATTGAACCCACTGTTCTTGGTAGTATATGCTTCATCCTTTTCTTATTGACAAGGAACATCATGATGGACTGATAGATATGAAGCAGTATATAAGTCTAAATGTGATTGCTATTGTTATAAATAATAGGTGATTTGGAAGTAATCTTACCTGGAGAGGTATAATATGGTACAATTTTATCATTGTACCATATTATACCTCTCCTGGTGAGATTACCTATTATTATGCTCCCAACAGTTAGGAAAGGATTATTTTTAAATGCCTTTTTAAGGCTTCTAAGGGTTGTAGATGATGGGCGATGAGAGCATTCAAGAGGACAGGTGTTGCAATGAAAGATGTTGCAATGAAAAGGGACAGGTGTTGCAATGAAAAAGGCATGTTTCCTAATTTGCATCAAGACACTGTTTAATAAAGGAACTAATATCTTGATCTGTCACTCTGTTTCACCCAGAATGAATGCAGCCATTTGCTGGCTTACTTTTCTCTAGACATGGCTGTAGAAAGAATGGACAGGAAGTGCTCTATTGAACTGTCTAAAAGACAAATAGTCAAAGCTGAGCCTTAGATAAGGCTCCTTAATCTTTAAATTAATGAAACTCCATTATTTAAAACTACCAAACATAAAACTGGAAAAATGCATGAATACTGTTCAACTTACATTTCATCAACGGAGCTAGCTTTAATTTCCAGGTGATAGCAATGTTTTTAAAAAGAATCCTTGCAGTGCTATTGGGACCTAGACTGGAAATGAATGGAAAGCATACCTGTTCAGTTTTAAAGTTGAACAAAAATGGTGAAATGTCTGAGTCATCTTAAAATGTTTTTTAATTAGAAAAAGTATCGACAGAGGGCTGATGCTCTAAAGTTCACAAGTGTTGCAGACAGTTCCCAGATCCAACATGCGAAGAAAAGCCAGGAATTGCAGAGTGATGTGAGTCTGCCTTTCATTTTCTTTCTCTATTGATTTGTTATTGTTAAAAACAAAAAATCAATGAAGACAAATTGATTGATGATTGGTGATTTATTGTGTCACCAAGGCAGTATTAACTCTTATTGACATCAATAGTTTTTCTCTATTCTCTAACCTGATCCTTCTGGTTCTCTGACATTGCCATTGTAAACTGAGTCGATTCCACTTTGCTCTTGCTGCTCCTCTTTTCTTTCTTTTATCTTTCCGAACAGAAGAACTTTCCCAGAAAGCTAAGTATTTAGAAATACCAGCACTGAAAGATAGGAAGATTCAGCACTGAACATTTTTTATTTCTTACATTGATTCATATGTAGTTCATCTATACTACTATAAGAGCCACAATAGCGCAGTGGTTGGAATGCAGTACTGCAGGCTACTTCTACTAATTACCGCCTGCCTGCAATTTGGCAGTTCAAATGTCACTAGGCTCAAGGTTGACTCAACCTTCCATCCTTTCAAGGTCGGTAAAATGAGGACCCAGATTGTTGGGGGCAACATGCTGACTCTGTAAACCTCTTAAAGAGGGCTGTAAAGCAGTGTTTTTCAACCTTTTTTGTGCAAAGGCACACTTTTTTCATGAAAAAAATCACGAGGCACACCACCATTAGAAAATGTTAAAAAAATTTAACTCTGTGCCTATATTGACTATATATAAAGTGTTTTTCCCACGGCACACCTTACACTATGTCACGGCACACTAGTGTGCCGCGGCACAGTGGTTGAAAAACACTGCTGTAAAGCACTGTGAAGCAGTATATAAGTCTAAGTGCTATTGCTGTCAAGCCTGAATTTGATTGAGGTATGGGATTTTTGAATCTTTGGGGATTCTTAAATGAATTCACTTTTACACAGTTTGAACTGAAGGAGGGAGGTCCTAGGAAGCCTTCAGACAAAACAATATAGCTAGCCAATGAGTCAAATGCATTCTACTGGCTGGCTTATTGGAGAAGGAGGAGAGAATTCTCCAGGCAACCAGCTCTTATCTTGTTTGGCCAATGTGACAATTTGTTTTGGAACAATGAAAAACTATTACTTATATTGGGGTGGAAAGTGCAGAAACTTTCAGTACTGGCTTTCCACCAGTGGTGCCAAGATGATGTATCTAAATAAATTTATTCTTTGAGGAAATGCAATGCCTCAGAGTTCGATTTGTGATGGGTGTATTACTTGGAACCTGACAATTGCTACTAATTAATGTTTAGCTTGTTTTAAGATTGATGTTTTTAGTATATGTATATTTATCTTTTATGATTGTAAACTGACCAGAGTTACCCTGCAGTAAGATGGGTAGTTGATAAATTAAATAAATAAATAAATAAATAAATAAATAAATAAACAAACAAACAAATAAACAAATAAATAAGCAAGCAAGCAAGCAAGCAAGCAAGCAAGCAAGCAAGGTGCTGGTTTACCATTGTTTTGGATATTGTGGTGATTAAGGCCATGTGGTAAACTACTGAGGAAAAACAACTTCTGCATATCTTTCCTCAACAAGACTCTACTGTTTGTTGCTAAGGTTATGTGTCTGCCATCCACGATTGCTAGACAGAATTGTTGAGAGTTAGACTATAAGTTTCATAAACTACTATTGATTGCATAGTTAGCAAGAGGTTTAGACTGGATTTGGCATTTTTATCCGCCTACTGAGACCTTCCTCAGCTCCTGGGACGGCAGATGATGTTTAATGGAGTTATCATCACAAGATGTAATCTGTTCGAAGTAAAGTTGCCTTCTGCAATTGACTAATGTTGATTTTGTCAATGCTGATAGTGTTCAAGTGGTGCTCTAGGTGCACCCAAGGCATTTGTTATTATTGGTAATATCTTTGCTGCTATCTTTGTTTTATTTACCCTTATACTTCTATTTATAGGTCTTTGTATTTCATGATTTTCCCCCAGTTTTTTTTTCTTTTATTCTGCTGTCTCCAGGGACTGCAGTGTCCACTATCTAGGCTTATTTTCTTTTTCTTAAGAACAATTGTTAAATCAGTGATGGCAGGTGCTTGTCTGTTGAATTCTAAAGTGCCAAAGACTTAGTTTCTTCATTTTCTATTACTTTGTCTATTTTGTAGTCTTACCAGTTCTTGCTTGCAGGCAAAATAGGCGAAGTAATAGAAAATGAAGAAACTGAAGTGCTCTGGGATACTTTTTTTTATTATTCTGAAATCTTTCCATTATTTGGAAAATAGATATCATACTACTTTGCATTAGCATATTAGGGGAAAGCAGCCCATTCTGATGCAATATAATATGCAGAAGCTAGCATCAGCTGCAAACCATTTTTTCACACTGTGAATAAGAAATTGTTTCATTCTCTTATTGTAATGCTTCTACTGCTTACACAAATTGTTATCATAATGATATTATTGACAAACCCAATGCTTTACAAACTAGATTTTGGAGAAACAAAGCATATTCACGAATCATTATGACTTGTCCATGAATTTATGACTTCTTTATAAATGCTAGTCAACAGTTACATCATTGGCTTTTTAAGAGGATTGCAATCTGAACTTTCCTTTCCTTTCCTCTCCTCCCCTCCCCTCTCCCCTTCTTCCTTTCCTACTCTATAGGGAATTGGTGTATAAATGTATAGAAAAATGTATGGAAAATCTCCTGTTCATTATCCAACATTTCATGCTAGGGTATGAAAAAGTCTGTTCTGTCTACCTGAACCCCTGTAGCCTGTCAGCTAATGTCAACGCTACTGGGCTAAAGGTTGGACCTAGCAGAAGGCATGTTGATATATTTGTAACACCTTAGATATTTCTTGTTGTGCTTTATGCCTCTGGATGTAATGATTTGGTCTGCTTTTATGAACAGATTGCATACAAGTCAGCAAAAGAAGATTTTCTTCACAACTACACCATCAGCAAAGATGAGCCTCTATTCATACAGGCCAGAATAAATGCCGCAAATATTAGTGAGGTATGTTGAGATTTGAATGCCATTTTGGGTGGAGTTTGTGGAAAAAGCCTGAAAAATAGCTTATGTTTTAAATAATAGTAGAGAGTTGCTATGCTTGTGCAAGTTCTGAAACATTTCTACCAAAATACTTTAGAAAGGTGCACAAGCCATGTGGACAACTATACATTTCTATATAATATACATTTATATAAAATAAGAGTTCAACAATATCTCCCAAGAACTTTGTGAACTATAATTTAGTATGGATTCTGAGTCTCTGTTAGACAATATTATCTAGTTCCTGTCAGACAACTACTGTCTAGTATTCATTAAGAGTGACAAAGTCTCTTTACTGTTTTGGGTTCCAATTCCCAATTGCCCCATTCAGCATCACCAATGTCAGGAATAATGGAAGCTGAGATTTAAAGCATTTAGATTATCCCATTTGGGAAAAGCCACTGTAGAGCTTTTGAAGTTGAACACCTATGTTGCTAATATTGCCACCTTTCATAAGGATCTTCTTAATTTTACCAATAGAGAAGCAAACAAGCTGGATTAACAATAGGAACTTGAAATGCATTTAAATAACTGGTAAAACAATACAAATCTTGACTCCTTTTGGAGGTATTGGGTGCTATTATGATGCCTGTGGCTCATGACAGCAAGCAAAATAATTGTGGTATTAACATATTTTTAGAAAATCTACAAGAGTAGCTGGGAGAGGCAGAAAGAGAAAGGATTTGAACTTCATCTTGATGCTATACCATTCCTGACAGCCAAGGCAAAGAGAGACCTAGCAAGTGATGTGAGTATTGATTTAAAAATACTCTCCCTTAGGAATTATTAAAACTAGAATAAATGCATGCATCTTTGTTTAAGCATTTTGTCAATCAATAAATTATATCTGATAAACAAGAATCAGAATGCAGGACATGCCTTTATAAGAAGGGTTACCTGGATTTGATCTCACAGTTAATAATGAGTAGACTATTTTGTTATCTTTGCTGCCATAATCTATTATTTTTCTCAACAGATAAAATACAAGGAGAATTATGAGAAGACTAGAGGAAAGTTGATTGGAGTGCAAGATGTGAGCCAAGACTCACAAATGGCTCACTTGCTTCATGTATCCAAGTTGCAGAGTGACCTGGAATACAAAAAGGCATTTGAAGATGTAAAGAATCAATATCATGTGTCCATGGATATGGTAAATCTTGTCCATGCCAAGAAAGCTCAGGATTTGGCCACTGATAGAGGATATAAGACAATCATGCACCGCTATACAGCCTTGCCCACAGATATGAAGGTCGAATGGGCCAAGCAGGCTTATGGCTTGCAGAGTGATGTAAGTCCTGAAGTTCATTATTTTTATACAACCTTACACTCTTTTAGCCATTTGGGGTAATCCTAAAGAATAACTTTGTATTGTTACTCTTTGGTAGATTTACTGATAACAACTATCACAGTCTGATTATACTAAGTTCACTGACTTAGTATAATCAGACTCTATCAAAGGATGGTTCTATCAAAGGGTCAGGAGCTTGCTAAATTATAATTTAATACAATATGTGATGCCAATATGGTAGAAGTTATAGTGCAATTTGGTGTGGCACAATTCCTCAGTTAGAACAAATGTACATTGTTTATCCTGGATGAAAAACAACTTCATGTATGGAACCCTGTAGGTTTTTTAAAATATAACTTTGTATAAATCTCTGGAAATGAGGATAGTATTGCAAACTATTCAGAGTGAGTGATTTTTCATAGTAATATAGTGTTTTCAAAACCAATAATATGCTTCTCATCCACTTCTATGTGATTGGAAAGTATACGTAATATTTTTGGATCAGTATTGGTGAGCATTATGAACAGATCAATAATGCAAAGGGGATAGGATATGCTATTTTTTTCCAAGGTTGAGGGGGAGTGTGTACACAAGCATTTTTTTTTTAATCGGGCTAATTTGAATTTAAAGTTTATACTACAATTTTTTACTCTTTCCATCTTGGAATGGTAAGAAATTATACCACCTATTTCATCAAACATACCAGAGGATGGGCCTCTGTAATAGAGGCACATGTGTTTGCCTGATGATGAAGAGTTCACATATCTCTCTTTCACATAACAGGGTAGAATTAACATGGGTTATTAAATGGGTTATTTGCACTGGCCTTTGCCAGCTATACAAAAAAGGGATTAAAATAAGTCATTCCTGTATACACCTTCACTAACTGCCCCAAATCTTTCCTATGGATGTAACTCAATTCACACTTACCTTGGAGCAAGGCTTATCATACTCATTTGTCTTATTTCAAGAAAAGGACAAAAGGTTTCTATGGGGAAATCTTTTGAACCAGCCCTGATTTTCATGACTGATACTTCGAGAATGTTGTCAGAAACCATTTAGTCATCAGTAAAAGGAAGTAAATAAATAAGTGCCTCCTTGACGCATTTTCTTTTAAACCTTATAGCAAAAAGGTTCACTGTCAGCACATTCACGGTCTCTTTTCTAAATCACCCCCCTCCTTTTCACATCTCTACCCACAGTTGCAAAGAAGTGGATAAAACAAAAGCAGGCTCTAATTTGGCTCAGTTGGTGTTCTGATGTGTGAGTTCTTTAGGTGGCATTTTTAATGTGTGAGCAGCCACAATGGAGCATTTTCATTTCCTTTTGTCAGAACCGATACAGAGCAGATCTGAACTGGATGAAAGGAGCCGGATGGATCGCCACTGGGTCATTAAATGTGAAGCAGGCTCAGAAGGCAGGAGAACTCATTAGCGAGGTGAGATTTCATGACAGCCGTAGCAATACCTGCCCCATAATGCATGTAAAATGTCAGTATAAAATTAAAATAATTCCATTGAAAGGGGGAGAAAAGAAAAAGGCTCTCAAAACCAGGCATTGTAGTCATAATTAGAAGGAAGCCAGATACCAAACAGAAAACAGTGGGAGTCCATATAGTCTTTCAAAAAGCAAAGGAGGTTTCAAGTGATATCATGAATAATAATGGCAATCAAACAATTGCTATCCCACCACCTTGCATTTTATTAATGAAGTGCATCAAGGCTTAACATGTATATTTATGACTCTAATATGACTAATATGTCTAATGCTCAAGCTCTCCCACTCACATACTTTTTCAGTACAAAACAAAACAAAACAAAATATAGATTATAAATGCTTCTGAAAACCATCCACAAACAAAATATTCTGAATTCTTGAATATGCATTCTTTGCAAGTATGTTAAAAGGATTTAAGGATTCATAAGTACTTTTGTGCAGTCACACTAAAGTTGGTATGATGACAGGCATGGTCATTTATAGCAGAAGTACATTTAGTCACAGATTTTCTAGTAGAGTTTTAATGTTGCTAAAACTGTTCGACCAGAGAGTACAAAACAAAACAAAATATTTATGCTTTTACAATATTGTTTTAAGCAAGCAATATTCAGACACTTGGTATAATTATTTTGCAGCCTTAATATTTTCACCATTGAAATTGCAGTGCTTTGGAAGCTGTGATTTTTTTACCAACTATGCTTCACTTTTGCTTGTAATTATAATTTGAAGGAATGTCTTTGTTTTTTCCCCCTAGGAAACATAAGAGTCTTTTACGTAATTGTTATGAACTCTATTTTTATATGTACGAGGATATTTTTAGTTTTTGAAGCAAGTGTCTACCTTTTTAAAAAAAATATATATATATTTATAACAGTTAAATTGGCGATCCAATTATTTTCACTTGTGGGAATAGCACAATAAAGATGCACTGTAAGTGATGTTAATGTAAATGTCACAATCCAGTGTCCTTGAAATGAAAGATCTGTATACAAATAAAGGAAAAACATATGATCAAATATCATATATTTTTTTGTAACATAAGCAATAAGATAAGGTTTCAAAAATGCCTCTTTGACTTGGCTTCAATTTTTATTATTTGTGTTCATGACTCAAATCATCAGATTTCAAATAATGCACAAAATACTATTGTAGCATTATATTCAAATAGCTGTTTTACTTTAAGGGCTTACCAATATAGAATGCTAGTTTGTATTTCAGACTTCAGGGGAATGCTTGAAGGTTTTTTTCATAGGATTCTGGGCATTTTATTACACATAATCCTCTTGAAATGTTTTCCTTAAATTTTAAGTGGAAATGCTGTATGATCACACTAGTAAAAATTAGTTTTAAATGGAAACTAATTTTAATCTGAAAGTTCTTAGTTGATAAGCATGAAAAAATAGGAATAATAATTATGTTTACACATTCACTCTAATCTCAAGCAACCTATGGTTTTTTAAAATTTCAAATAGCATGAAAGAGCAGCACAAAATTCACTGCTTTTATCTTTTTTTTTTTTTTTGCTCAACAGAAGAAATACCGTCAGCACCCATGTGCTTTGAAGTTTACCAGTATTAAAGACACTCCTGAGATGATCCAGGCTAGAATTAGTTATAACCAGGCTGTGGATGTAAGTTGTAATGTATATACATTATGATTATAAAAGTGGTAGCTCTTTGAATGATCTGATTGAAGCACTAGTTTTCTCTGTCATTGACCTCATTTTCAGGAACTGAGAAACTTGTGTTAATGGAAACCTACCATTCTTCTAAAAGGCCTAGCAGAACACTTATATAAAGGCAGATAAATTTGTAACCCTGTCCTGAGTCATACACTTCGGTACATTAAACATATGTTTACAATTTACAACCATATCAGCATCATATTTGTAAAATTTATTTTTTTCTCCTCAGGAAACATTTTAAATATGAATTTCTCTTTCTCTCACTGAAACTACTATTAGCAATTCTCTCTCTCTTTTTACAATAAATTAGTAATACAAATCATTTCAATCTAATATAGCCATATACATCATCTACAGCAGATCCTTTCTAAAGTATTAGGTAATTCTTTGATGGATATACAATTACATGAGATGAAAAATTATTTATGTTGTTGTATTTCAAATTTAAATACAGCTATCCATTTAGAAATAATCCCAATATAATGTAAAATAAAACAATAAGCAAATTAAATCATAAGTGCACAGTGAGATCTAAAACCTGGGAAAATAATTATTACCTCACAGTGAAAAAATACAGTAGGTACCAGTTTAGCATTATTGGGAAGAGGCATTTTCCTAAGTTATCACCACTGACTCAGGATAACGTGTATGGTATGCTGATAAATAAATAAGCCTGGGAAGCATTCCATATTCATATTCAAGAGTTAAAATAATTATCTTACTCAGGGCTTATAAATGAATAAATCTGCCATCAAGGATTTCAAAACTCAGAAAACAGCAGGAGATAATTCCGTCTTCCAGAGCACGCTGTCCTGGAAGTGCTGTGTTTTAGAAAAAAATTTCTAGCATGAGACAGCAGCATATCGATACTCCCCTTTCACACTGAATTGAGATAATGGGGTGCTGGTCTTGACAGAAGCTAATTAATATGGTCATATTTAAATAAAAAAAAACATTTGCTGCTGTTGTGAATCATCACTTTATAAACTTTACTATATGATAAGTAAAAAGTAGTCTGGCTCTATACCGAGGAAGGAATTCACAATTTGTCAAAAAGGTTTTAGTGACACAACTAGAAATACAGTAGCTGAGAAGAAGGCTGCTCCAGACTCTAGATGCCACAACCAAAACTGAGATTTTTTAAATCTCCAGTTAATAAAGACAGTCACAAGAAAATCTTAACTTAATGAATTCTTATATTGGCTATAGTTCTTGAATTAATTTGATAAGGATTGATTTGGGGGAGGGTGGTTGGTTTTACTATGTACAAAAACATGTAATGGTGCCCTACAAAGTATTTTCTGAATTTTGCAGAGGCTTTATAAAGAACATGGAGAGAATGTCAAACATAATTATACCCAAATAGCAGAACTTCCTGAGATCTCTCAAGCTAAACAAAATGCTTTGAATATCAGTGAGGTAAGATTTTTAGGATACATCTTGACCTTCTATAGATTAACTATAGCTTTGTAAAATGTATTTTTCTCACTTTCGTTCTTGAGGATAGACAGTAAGTAAGGGTTACAAGATTAGTCTTATGTATTTGCATTTTTGCTGTTCTTCTCATTTTTAATAATGGCAACATTGCCACATTGTTGGTCTGTTTGGCTTTCTGAAAAGAAGATTCCAAGATGCCACAGAAGAGCCAAGACTGAACTGAAATGAAGTTTGGAGTTCTTATGACTGGTACTCAATTGTGGCAATTAATATTCCACAATCTCCTTAAATTAAGGTGACCAGATTTTCAGATTGGTAAAGAGGGACACCATTGACCGGGGGGGGGGG